ATTGGAAAGGAGGAAATCAAATTGTCTCTATTTGCAGATGACATGATTGTATATCTGGAAGACCCCATCATCTGAGCCAAAAATCTTCTTAAACTGATAAGCAACTTCGGCAAAGTCTCAGGATACAAAATCAACGTGCAAAAATCACAAGCATTCCTATACACCAATCACAGAATCACAGAGAACCATATCAAGAACAAACTGCCATTCAAAATTGCTACAAAGAGAATAAAATACCTAGGAATACAACTAACAAAGGATGTAAAGGACCTCTTCAAGGAGAACCACAAACCACTGCTTAAGGAAATAAGAGAGGACACAAACAGATGGAGAAACATTTCATGCTCATGGTTAGGAAGAATCAGTATTGTGAAAATGGCCATACTGCCCAAAGTAATTTACAGATTCAATTCTATCCTCATCAAGCTACCTATGACCCTCTTCACAGAACTGGAAAAAAACACATTAAATTTCATATGGAACCAAAAGTGAGCCCACATAGCCAAGTCAATTCTAAGCAAAAAGAACAAAGCTGGAGGCATCACGCTACCTGACTTCAACTATACTACAAGGCTACAGTAATTAAAACAGCATGGTACTGGTACCAAAACAGAGATATGGACCAATGGAACAGAACAGAGGCCTTGGAGGCAATGCCCACATCTACAACCATCTGATCTTTGACAAACCTGACAAAAACAAGCAATGGGGAGAGGATTCCCTGTTTAATAAATGGTGTTGGGAAAACTGGCTAGCCATGTTTAGAAAGCATAAACTGGACCCCTTCCTGACACCTTACACTAAAATTAACTCCAGATGGATTAAAGACTTAAACATAAGACCTAACACCATAAAATCCCTAGAAGAAAACCTAGGCAAAACCATTCAGGACATAGGCATAGGCAAGGACTTCATGACTAAAACACTGAAAGCATTGGCTACAAAAGCCAGGATAGAGAAATGGGATCTAATTAAACTCCAGAGCTTCTGCACAGCAAAGGAAACAATCATTAGAGTGAACCAGCAACCAACAGAATGGGAAAAAAATTTTGTAATCTACCCATCTGACAAAGGGCTAATATCCAGAATCTACAAAGAACTAAAGCAGATTTACAAGAAAAAAACAAACAAATGCATTCAAAAGTGGGCAAAGGATATGAACAGACACTTCACAAAAGAAGACATATATGAGACCAACAAACACATGAAAAAATGCTCATCGTCACTGGTCTTTAGAGAAATGCAAATCAAAGCCACATTGAGATACCATCTCATGGCAGTTAGAATGCCAATCATTAAAAAATTTGGAGACAACAGTTGCTGGAGAGGATGTGGAGAAATAGGAATGACATATGACCCAGCAATCCCATTACTGGGTATATATCCAGAGGATTATAAATCTTTCTGTTATAAAGACACATGCATATATATGTTCATTATAGCCTGTTTACAATAGCAAAGACCTGGAACCAACCCAAAAGTCCATCGATGGTAGACTGTACAAAAATTGTGGCATGTATACACCATGGAATACTATGCAGCCATTAAAAAACAATGAGTTCATGTCCTTTGTAGGGACATGGATGAACCTGGAAACCATTATCCTTAGCAAATTGACACAAGAACAGAAAATCAAACACTGCACGTTCTCAGTCATAGGCGGGTGTTAAACAATGAGAGCACACAGACATAGGGAGAGACGCATCACAGACTGGGGTCTGTTGGGGGATACTAGGGAAGGGACAGCAAGGGGTAGGGTGTTGAGGAGGGATGTTATGGAGAGAAATACCAGATATAGGTGACAGGGATGGAGGCAGCAAACCACATTGCCATGTATGTACCTGTGCAACAATCCTGCATGTTCTTCACATGTACCCCAGAACCTAAGCTGCAATAAAATATATATATATATATTTAAAAAACAAAGAAAAAAAAAGAAAGAAAACCAAGAATGTAGGGGAAAGAAAGACTCTGATGCATTCTTCAATATGCCAGTACAGTTTTTATCTCCAGAATTTCTGCTTGATTCATTTTAATTATTTTAATCTCTGTTAAAGTCATCTCATAGAATTCTGAATTCCTTCCCTGTGTTATCTTGAATTTCTTTGAGTTTCCTCAAAACAGCTGTTTTGAATTCTCTGTCTAAAAGGTCACATATCTATTTCTCCAGGATTGGTCTCTGGTGCCTTACTTAGTTCATTTGGTGAGGTTATATTTTCCTGAAATTGGTGTTGATCCTAGTAGACATTCTTTGGTGTCTCAGCATTGAAAAATTAGGTATTCATTATAGTCTTCACTGTCTAGGCTGCTTTGTACCTGTTCTTCTTGGGAAGGCTTTCTAGTTATTTGAATGGACTTGAGTGTTGTGATCTAAGCTGTATCTATTTTAGAGGACAACCCAAACACAGTGACCCTGTGGTTCTTGCACACTCATAGAGGTACTCCCTTAATGGTCTTGAACAAGATCCAGAAGAATTCTTTGGATTACCAGGCAAAGACTTTTCTCTTCCTTTACTTTTTCCCCAAAAAACAAAGTCTCTTTTCTGTTTTGAGCCACCTAAAGCACTGAAACCACAAGATAAAGTCTTTCCCACTCTCCTCTCCCCTTTCCAAAGGTTACTACCACTACAGGCCATGGGGACTACTGGGATACGTCTAGCCTACTGCCAATGTTCTCTTAAGGCCCAAGGTCTCTTAAGTCCACTTGTGGTGAATGCTGCCTGATCTTTCAGGTCAGTAGGCTCCCCTCTAGTCCACAGCAGGTCTAGAAATGCCATCCAAGGGTCAAGTCTTGGAATCAGGGACTTCAAGAGCCCATTTGGTGCTTCACCCCTGGCCCCACACTGTGACCATGCTGGTACTTAAGTTTCCTTTACTTTTCCCTCTGCTTTTCTCAAGCCAAAGGAGTTTTGCCTTGTACCCACCACTGCTGGTAATATACTAAGTCTCACCTGGAATCTCAGAGGCTCACCTAAGGCCCTTGACATAGTTCTTGGGTATCATTACTGGTTATTCAGGGCCCAGGGGTTTTCCAGTTAGCATGTGATGAATGCTGCCAGGATTGCGTCCTACCCTTCAAGGCAGCAGGTTCCCTTCTGGCCCAGGGAGTATCTAGAAATGTCATACAGGAGGTAGGGCCTGGAACAGGGGCCTCCCAACTCTGACCAGTGCCCTAACCTCCTGTGGCTGAGCTAGTATTCAAGATGCAGGATAAAGTTCTACCCACTCTTCCTTCGCCTCTCCTCAGGTGGAAGGAAGGGGTCTCTTCTGGTACCATAAGATGTGCAGCCTGGGGTTAGGGGATGGATGATGTCAGCTCTCCCTTAGCCACCCTGTCTGGTATCTGAGCAGGTCTTGAGTCCCCCTAGTCCTCTGTCTCTGGACCCAGTTCAGCACTAGGACTCACCTAGTAATTGAAGTCCTTATGGCCTACACGGTGTTTCCAGTTTACTTAGAGACCCAGTGCAGTTTGGCCTATGGTGGTGAGGTTTGTGGGAACTGAAGTTTGTACCACTGGTATTGACAGTTCTCCTCTGGCTAGGGCTGGTTTAAATGCTCCCTCCAGCCAGACACAGTTGCTCACACCTGTAATCCCAGAACTTTGGGAGGCCAAGATGAGAGGATTGTTCGAATCCAGGAGTTTGAGACGAGCCTGGCAACATTCCATCTCTACTAAAATACAAAAATTAGCCAGGCTGGTGGTGCATGTCTGTGGTCCTAAGCTACTTGGAGGCGGAGGTGGGAGGATCACCCGAGCCCAGGAAGGTTGAGTCTGCAGTGAGCTGTGATCACACCACTGCACTTCAGCCTGGGCCACAGCGTGAGACCCTGTCTCAAAAATACATGTGCATGCACGCGCGTGCGCATGCACACACACACACACAAATTTTATTCCCTCCATGGGTGGGTGTCTGCTGAGTTCAGTCCACTTTTCCTTTCTGCTTTAACAGGACAGCACTGAGTTTAATGCCTCACAGTTGCTGTACTTCCCACCCCCAATACCCAGAGACACCTTGCCACCTCTGTTGGGGGGCTGCAGGAGGGATAGTGCTAGCAATCGCTGTTTAAGGCTGTTTTTTCTATCTCTTCTGTGCCTCTTTCAGTGATGTGAAGCTATAACCAGGTACTATGAGGGCTCATCTGATTTTTGGTTCTTATGAAGGTGTTTTATCTGGATAGATAGTTGTTAGATTGGTGTCATTGCGGGAGATGATGGGTAGAGTCTTCTATTCTGCCTTCTTGCTCTGCCTCGAGCCTCTATACTGTCTTAAGACACCTTTATTGGCTACCCTTGTTATTGTACTTATTTTCTCTTTATTATAATTTCTTTTTTTTTCCCTTGCCTGTCTCTTTATTACTGTGCAAATTCCTAGAAGGCAGAAACTAACTTCTGCAGTAAACCACATTGCCTCAACATTTAGAGGAAATTGATCATCTTGGCAAAAGCAAGTATGATCATCGAAAATAAAGTAAAATGCAAAAGTGGTTGGAGACTGACATTTGAAGAAAGAGTCAATGCAAATAAAAAGGAAATTTAATCAAAGCTTCTAATATTCTACGCTTGAATTTTGACTTAGGATTAAGAGATTGAAGGAGTTTGAGAGAATTTGAAACAAAGCAAGGAATATTTATTATTTATTCCATGACTAGTGTGTGGCAGACACTGTGGTGAGTGGCTGGGATGCAATCTCTGTACTTAGGATTTACATTTTCTATGGAACAGATTACCTAAATAGTTTAAGAATTTTAAATTAGTAATTGTTCTAATTTAATTGATTTTACATTAAATCTATATGTAAATGCATAATTAAAAATCATTTGATGTAGTAGAGTTGCTAAGGAAATTGTTGATCTTCAGTAGCAGGAAGTGACCTGAAAAAAATCTTTGGATTTTTGGTCCTTGCTAAAAGGTATCCTTGGTCCTTGTAGAAAGCTATTCTTATAATTTATCAAGTGTTTACACTTTTCTTTATTGTCTAATTGTTCTTTCTATTTATCAGTTAATTGACATAGGAGAGAGTATAGCTATTCCAGATGAATTTACTGAACAAGAAAAGCAGTCTGGAGAATGGTGGAAGCGTTTGGTGTCAGCAGGAATAGCTAGCGCAGTTGCACGGACATGCACGGCACCTTTAGACCGCTTGAAAGTCATGATGCAGGTTTTTGCTTGCCTTACCTACCCTTTAAGAGTTAAAGTCACTTGAAAAATCTTTGGCAACTTTCAAAAAAGTTTTTAAGAACTGTTTTGACACATCTTATGCTACTTCTCATTAAAATTTTACATTTTTCTGAAAATGTAAATGCTAATTTCGACATTAAAAATTCAGAAGATGCTGTATATTCAAAATAATTTTTATTTTAAATAATAATAGAACCACTCTATTAGAATGTTTTCAAAAACAAAACTAAATTCATGAAAGAAATGAGAAGACACCATTAGACTTTTTATTGATTGTCTCTAACCCTCACACCAACATAATAGCATGGTTCTATTCTACCATTTAATTACTAAGAATATATCCAAGAGGCAGAAAATAAGTTGCTTAGAGTTTAATATTATATTTTGTTTAATTACATTTATTTCAATGAATAAGGAATTATCAATAGAAGTTATAAAATAGTGCATGGCTTAATGTGTTAATTATCACGAGTAGAATCCACAATTAAAATTCTGTATTTGCTGAATACTTTCTCTACAAGGATATAAAAACTAATAGTCTGCAACCTAATTCAAATTACATATGTGGGTGTTTTACTATTTTTTGCTTTTTAGTAATGCTGGTGACATTTTAGTAATGGATTATGAACAGTTATTATTATGCAATGTGAATTGTATAATAACTTTAATATCACATCTTTAAGAACTAGTTTATATTATTGCCTCATTCTGAAAAATGGTTTATCTAAATTAAGAATTAAACTTACATAAATGTATCATTTTTTGAAAATATAGGCTGTTAGAAGCGTACCTTTTGGGGGAGGAAGGTTTCATTCATTCATTCCACATATATTTATTTAGGGCCAATTACGTACTGGTTGCTTTAATGGACACTAGGGATTATAGGAAAATGTTAGACATAGTTTTTGTCCTTAGATAATTTACAAACTATCTGGGAAAATAGGTAACAGTAAAATGTGATATAAGTGCTGCCTACCCAGACATGATACACATAGTACTGTGGGAGCACCAAGCGGGAGTAAATACTGTTTCCTCCATGCCTAATATTTTTTACATAAATACATGGTAAGATTCTGGTTAATGCATCCCATGGAGATAGACCTTTAATTAAATGGGTTAAGTGTAGGGAACATACTTTGAATGGCATTAGATGGTAAGACACATAACCCACCACCCTTCCACATGTTTGTTTTTGTTTCCATGTATAATCTATATTCTTTTCAGATAGGTGACTCAATTCAGTTAGTCCTTAGATAAGAGCAGTAGTTGTACATTCTATTTTGTGGTGGAAATATAAAACTCAGCTTCCTCAGTAACTGGGCCAGTCAGAAAATTAAATAATGAAATTTAAAGGAGAAAGATACAGACATGATACAGTGCTACACAGAGAGACAGACATATAGGGAGATGAGAAAGATGGGAAGGGGACCAAGAGGAAAATAAAGACAATGTGTTGGCTGTGTGCCCATCAGATGCTAGGTGCTAGAAACACAAAAATGAAAAAGCGTATTTCTTATACTTCAGGACCTTATAGAGATACAAACAACATATTTATGTGATGATGATGATGGTGATGATAATGTTGAAAACAGTAACTGTTGCTGAATTGCACATAATCACCATGTGCAAGATAGCAAATTATATTTGTCACTATTGTAAGGACACAGAGTAGGGGAAATAAGTTCTCTGAGGTGATGGAAATGAGTCAGTGGATTAAGGAGGGAGCAAATGGAGAATCTGAATAAAGTAAAAAAAAGAGAAAGGGGTAAGGGAGGTAAATAGAGAAGAGTAGGAAGAGGATGGGAGACAGAAACATAAAGAAGAAAAGAGAAATAGAGAAGAACTGGGGAATAAAGAGGAGAGAAGATGACAGATACAAGCCAGTTAGAAGTGGGGTGAGGAGAGTACTATAATGAGAAGCAAAGGAAGGGAAAGCCGGAAGGAGTCGCTGTCCATTTATGCTGTCCTGGGTTGGGTCTCATGGCTTTCATTTATACTTATATTTGACAGTGAAATTAGTCCATTAGAACTTGTCTACTCTGTTGATAGAGGTATTATTGTGCGAGCTTCACACAACTGGAAAATAATTCTATGAAACAGGAAGACATATGTGTGTGGTCAGAGGTAGTTTAATATGGTTCATGAGCAGAGACTTTACAGTTAGAGAGCCCTGGTTGGAATTTCTGATACTTACTTTAATCACTTTTTCTGATCTGTAGACATGTTTTAATCCTACTTTTTAAAAGCAAGTATTCATAATTTTAGGATGAACACCATTTATTAGTCTTTATCATATTTAAGATTATTTGTTTAAAGAATTTCTAGGGTAAGTAATGATATGAACATTTTTAAGGCTATAAACATATCACTAAATTATTTTCTAAATTTTTCTACCCACAGAAGAGAATGTTCATTTTGCCTTGTTCTTCCATTATTTTTCTCTTATTTTATAGACAGGAGGGCATTTTATTTTATTTTATTTATTTTAAGACAGAGTCCTGCTCTGTAGCCTAGGCTGGAGTGCAGTGGCATGATACTGGATCACTGCAACCCCTGCTTCCAGGGTTCAAGCAATTCTCCTGGCTCAGCCTCCCAAAGTAGCTAGGACTACAGGTGTGTGCCACCATGCCTGACTAATTTTTTTGTATTTTTAGTGCAGATGGGTTCATGTTAGCCAGGATGGTCTCGACCTCCTGATGCCGTGACCCACCTGCCCTGGCCTCCCAAAGTGCTAGGATTACAAGCATGAGCCATCACACCCAGCCAGTGGGGCATTTTATTAATGTTTTAGCTTTACTTTCTTAAAAATAGTATTTTTTCTTATTATAATATAACACACTAGAAAAATGGAAAAACCCAGAAAAGTATAAAGAAAGACATTAAAATCACCTGTACTCCTCATGTATGAGGTTGTCAGGAATGCTATCTATAACAAAGTTCTGTAAACTGACTGGCTTAAATAACAGAAACTTATTGTCTTGGTTCTGGAGGCTAGAAGTCGAAAATTAAGGTGTTGGCAGGGTTGGTTCCTTTTGAGGGGCATGAGGGATAATCTGTTCCAGGTCTCTTTCCTTGGCTTGCAGAGGGCAGGCTTCTCTATCTCTTCACCTTGTCTCCTCTCTGTGTGTGTCCTGTCTCTGTGTCTGATTTCCTTTCATAAGGATTCCAGTCAGAGCAGGGCACTTTCAGATGACGTCACTTTAACAACTCAAAAAGACGCTATCTCTAGGTCACATTCTGAGGGAATGAGGGTTAGGATTTCAACATATGAAATTTGGGAGACACATGTTAACCCATAACACCTTGCCACCCAGGAATATCCACTGTTGAAAGTTTGATGTATTTTCACCTATCCTTTATTCATTGCATATTTCAATGAACTCTTTAATAATATTCTAATATATTTGTATCATCAACACATCTTATGCTAAAATACCCTGGTAATTAAGTTATTTCTGCTTTCTTTGAATTGCCATTTTTTCTTTTATGTGTCAGATTATTTAAAGTATGTATTTCAGGACAAGAAAACATTAATATTATCAGTTTTAGATGTCTCTGAGGGTAATTAAAATGATGTTGAAAATCATAAATTTATGCATATATGTATGTTTATTTTTATTATTAATAGCAATACCAATGCCATAAAGCCAGTAAAATGAATTGAAAAGCAAATAAATGTGTTATTTATTTATAGGTTCACAGTTTAAAGTCAAGGAAAATGAGATTGATTACTGGTTTTGAGCAGTTAGTAAAAGAAGGAGGAATTTTTTCCCTTTGGCGAGGAAATGGTGTAAATGTTTTAAAAATTGCACCAGAAACAGCACTCAAGGTTGGGGCCTATGAACAGGTAAAACATTTTTTCTGTGGTATTTTAAACAAAAATCAGACTTTAAATTTAATTCCAAAAATTCAGACTTTCATGGAAGAGAAAATCGGAATGTGCACAAGCAGTAGTTTTCAATGTAAATACTAATGACTGTTTATTCTGAGTTGATTTTTTGTGTTTTTATATTGCTATTCTTTATAAGAGAAGTTCCATGAATTACTGTATATTATGATAACTGAAGTCTATTAGTAGATCTTTTAATGTCAGTGTGACAGTGTAGGAAGGCTTCAAAAAACATTTCATCATTGATTTTTTTTGACAATTTGAAAATTTTACAGAAATTTCTGTTTCTTGGTTAATTAATCCTGGACCAACATCTTACTTTAGTTAAGTGATTAACTGATAAAAACTGCATTGAATTTTAAAATTGATTGATCTCATTTAGATTATTCACTTTGAGATGAGACATATCTGTTTTCAAATATTATAAGATATTAGTCTCACATGAGTCCAAAAGTGCTCTGTGTACTTCTCAAGTTTTCTATCTTCACTGTAAAATCTTGTAGTAATTCTCCTTTCTTTAAACATTTATATAGCATATAGGATTAAAGTGCTTATTTTGTAGACTCTTGTTTATAAAGTCACTAGAAGCTCAATATTTTAAGAAAATATTAAAGAATGATCATATCCTTTTCTAACCCAAACAGTTGAAAATCAAGTCGATAGATGAGTGGACTCTGGACTTAGTTGTAATGCATGCACATCTTAAAAATATATATCTCTGACTTAAATGGGGATTAGCTTACTCATTCAGCAAGTATTTCTTTCTTTCTTTTTTTTTTTTTTTGAGACGGAGTTTCGCTTTTGTTACCCAGGCTGGAGTGCAATGGCGCGATCTCAGCTCACTGCAACCTCCACCTCCTGGGTTCAGGCCATTTTCCTGCCTCAGCCTCCTGAGTAGCTGGGATTACAGGCACGCGACGCCATGCCCAGCTAATTTTTTTGTATTTTTAGTAGAGACAGGGTTTCACCATGTTGACCAGGATGGTCTCGATCTCTTGACCTCGTGATCCACCCGCCTCAGCCTCCCAAAGTGCTGGGATTACAGGCTTGAGCCACCGCGCCCGGCGGTATTTCTTTTATTAACAAATTTTTCTTGAATACCTAGTGTGTTCAGATTATCTTCTAGATGATGGAGATGTCTTAGCAAATAAAACAGGAAACCAATCAACCAACCGACCGCCCAAAAACCCTACTTCCTTTGTCAGATTTATGTTAGAATACAGGTAGGAGGAGACAATAGCTAAACAAGTGAAATATGTGGTATGTCAGGTGGTGACAATGGCTATGGGGAAAACAGGATAGAAATTGGATATAGAAATTGATAATTCTTTCAAGGAGTTTTACTGTGAAGAGGAGAAGGGAAATGCAGTGGTAACTGGAGGAAGTATGGGATTATGAGAATGTTCCATTCTAGAAATGGAAGAAGCAACATTTGTGTGCTTAGGGGAATAATCCACTGGAGTGAGTACAAATGATAATACAGGAAAGGAGGGGAGTGTTGGTAGGGGATTGTCCTTGAATCTTTGAGTGGGTGAGAGGAGATGGGAGCTAATGCTCATGGAAGGGTTTGGCCTTGGTGAGGCGTTTCGTCCATGGTTACAGGAGAAGGGCTACTGTGTGGACACAGTTGTAGCAGGTTTGGGGAAGCATTTTTCCTAGTGCTTCGATTTCTTCTGTGAAATGGGAAGCAAGGACATATTGGATGTTTGAGGAAACAGAAGGTGTGAAATAGTCTTCTAGGAGAGTGGGAGAGCAAATGGATTAAGAAAAAAAGTAAGATTTCTGGCAGCAAAGGTCCGGTTGAAGTCAGTAGTCATGAATCTAAAGGGATATCAGGCAGCATGTAGATCTATAAAATCCTGTTTTCAATAGGTTTTGAACTCTGGCAGTTTCATAAATTTAAATATTTATTGTGTGCCTACCATGTGCTAGCCAGGTCTTATGTCTGGGAAGACATGAAAGAACAAGACAGATACTGTCTCTAGCCTTCTAGACCTTACATTCTATCAAAATTAGATGTTGAAATTTAAGAAGTGTTTATCTAAATGCAAATATCAATTTAGTGGCTCACATCTATAATCACAGCACTTTGGGAGGTGAGAGGATCATGTGGGCCCAGGAATTTGAGACCAGCCTACGCAACATAGTGAGATCCTTTCCCTACAAAATATAAAAATAAAAAAATTTAGCCAGCTGTGGAAGCACACTCTTATATTCCCAGCTACTTGGGAGGCTGAGGCCAAAGGATTGCTTGGGCCCAGGAGTTTGAGGCTACAGTGGGCTGTGATTGTGTGGCTGCTCTCTACCCTGAGTGACAGAGTGAGACCCTGTTTCTTAAAAAAAAAAAACAAAAAATACGATGATAGACTGGACAAGGAAAATGTGGCACATATACATTATGGAATACTATGCAGCCGTAAAAAAAACGATGAGTTCATGTCCTTTGTAGGGACATGGATGAACCTGGAAACCATCATTCTTAGCAAATTGACACAAAAACAAAATCAAACACTGCATGTTCTCACTCATAGGTGGGTGTTGAACAATGAGAACACATGGACACAGGGAGGGGAGCATCACACACTGGGGTCTGTTGGGGGGGCTAGGGGAGGAACAGCAGGGGGTGGGGAGGTTGGGGAGAGATAACATGGGGAGAAATGCCAGATATAGGTGATGGCGGGGGGGAGGCTGCAAACTACTTTGCCATGTATGTACCTAAGCAGCAATCCTGCATGATCTACACATGTACCCCAGAACCTAAAGTACAATTAAAAAAAGAAATAAAATACCATGAATAAATGTAAGTAGCAGATAAGCAAACAAAATACATAATTTTATTTTGGCTTAAAAAAAACTGTGTTGCAAAGTATAAAAGAAGCATAGCAGTTTGTGTATTCATGTTTGTTACTAGGAATATATGAGCTGTTATTTGTAAGGTAAGGCACAGATGGAAGAAAATGGTCTGGACCCTAAATCATCAGTATGCCATCCTCACTATTTATGGTGACACATATGTGGCATAAAGGACACTCCAGTTAAATGCACTGTTTATTACTAACAGGACTTTGGCTTCAAATTTCTTTCTTGTCTTCAACCCTGATGAGCTGGAGTGGATCACAAATCAGCAACAAAAGACATCCTTTTCTCTATTTAGTGTCAGACTTGACTAGAAGCAGACTTAAGTGGCTCATTTCATACTTCTGCTCCCTTAGGACCCATCCTGGTTACTGCTAGCCTTTTCAAGGGCACACCACCTTATGGGGGAAAAAAAAAATGAAAGGAATGCCACATATGATGAAAAAAACAGAAGTTGCTCCTGCCCAATTTTATTTATTAATATAATCTCATTTGTTTCCTCACTGTCTAGAAACCCTACCTTCTCTGGTTAACCATTTTCCACTTCCCTAGATTTTTCTTGAGGACTCAGTTTCTTTCCTTGACCCATATCAGAGCACCTTATCATGGGAGGAGTGTTGTGTGGGGTGAGGTAAAATAAGTTCTAATATTTTAAGTTGTAATAGAGATTGTATTTTACTTCTTGGACCTCGTATAAAGTTCTTCTCCCAGCATTAGATCTTTCCATAATTTATCCCTACTTAACATGTCCAGTACTGCTGCTCAACAAATACTTCTTTTCAATTAAAAGAACCTTTTTATTATACCTTAACAAGTTGTGCTTTTCCTGTCTCTTTGATTTTGCTCACATTTTCTTTCTCATTGAGTTACCCTTTTTCTCCTTCTAACATATCTAAATTATTTCAAGAACTGAAGTATTTCCCTTCCTGAGAAGCAGCCTGCTTCAGTGTCTGCTCTTTCTGCCCTAGTATACTTATTGGCTTTGCCACTTATGTAAACAGAGATATGGACAAGTGGAATAGAACAGAGGCCTTGGAGGCAATGCCCACATCTACAACCATCTGATCTTTGACAAATCTGACAAAAACAAGCAATGGGGAAAGGATTCCCTGTTTAATAAATGATGTTGGGAAAACTGGCTAGCCATGTTTAGAAAGCATAAACTGGACCCCTTCCTGACACCTTACACTAAAATTAACTCCAGATGGATTAAAGACTTAAACATAAGACCTAACACCATAAAAACCCTAGAAGAAAACCTAGGCAAAAACCATTCAGGACATAGGCATAGGCAAGGACTTCATGACTAAAACACCAAAAGCATTAGCAACAAAAGCCAAAATAGACAAATGGGATCTAATTAAACTCCAGAGCTTCTGTATAGCAAAAGAAACAGTCATTAGAGTGAACCAGCAACCAACAGAATGGGAAAAAGTTTTGCAATTTACCCATCTGACAAAGGGCCAATATCCAGAATCTACAAAGAACTAAGATTTACAAGAAAAAAACAAACCCATTCAAAAGTGGGCAAAGGATATGAACAGACACTTTTCAAAAGAAGACATATATGAGACCAACAAACATATGAAAAATGTTCATTAACATTGTCGTTAGAGAAATGCAAACCAAAAGCACATTGAGATACCATCTCACACCAGTTAGAATGGCGATCATTAAAAAATCAGAAGACAATAGATGCTGGAGAGGATGTGGAGAAATAGGAACACTTTTACACTGTTGGTGGGAATGTAAATAAGTTCAACCATTGTGGAAGACAGTGTGGTAATTCCTCAGGGATCTAGAAATAGAAATTCCATTTGATGCAGCAATCCCATTACTGGCTATATACCCAAAGGATTATAAATCCTTGTATTATAAAGACACATGCACACGTATGTTCATTGTGGCACTGTTAACAATAGCAAAGACCTGGAACCAATCCAAATGTCCATCAATAATAGATTAGACAAGGAAAATGTGGCACAAATACATCATGGAATACTATGCAGCCATAAAAAACTATGAGTTGGTGTCCTTTGTAGAAACATGGATGAATCTGGGAAGATGGCCGCCTAAGAACAGCTCAGGACTTCAGCTCCCAG